AGTAACAAACAAGAGAAATGGTACATTTTTTGTTAATAGTGAAAAAAAGAAACAGAAACATCAATAAGGTATTAGTTAATTATGGACTGTTGTCAAGCTATTTAAAATTACTGTCATGCATACCACTAACCACAAAGAAACATAAGAATGAAAAAAAAGTAAAGTTAAAAATAAGAGCAGGGGCCAGGGGCTGGCCCTGTGGCTGCGTGGTTAAGTTCACGTGCTCTGTGGCAGTGGCCCAGGGTTTTGCTGGTTTGGATCCTGGGTACAGACATGGTACCACTAGTCAGGCCACATTGAAGTGGCATCCCACGTGCCACAACTAGAAGGACCCACAACTAAAAATATACAACTATGCACTGGGGGGATTTGGGGAGAAAAAGCAGAAAGAAAAAAAAAAAAAGCAAAGGTCAGCTCAGTGGTGTAGCAGTTAAGTTCATGCACTCCACTTCAGTGGCCCAGGGTTCATCAGTTTAGATCCTGGGCATGGACCTACACACTGTGCATCAAGCCTTGCTGTGGCAGCGTCCCACATGGAAGAACTAGAATGACTTACAACTAGGATAAACAATAGGATAAACAACTATGGACTGGGGCTTTGGGGAGGAAAAAAAAAGAGGAAGACTGACAACGGATGTTAGCTCAAGGCCAATCTTCCTCACTAAAAAAATAAATAAATAAATAAAAAGCTGAGAACCTCAATGTATTTAAAATAAATAAATAAATAAAATCAGTGGCCAGCCCAGTGGTATAGTGGTTAAGTTCATGTGCTCTGCTTCGGCAGCCTGGGGTTCACAGGTTCAGATCCCAGGCTTGGACCTAGACACGGCTCATCAAGCCATGCTGTGGCAGCAACCCACATACACACTAGAGGAGGACTGGCACAGACTTTAGCTCAGCAACAATCTTCCTCAAGCAAAAAGAGGAAGACTGGCAACAGATGTTAGCTCAGGGCCAATCTTCCTCATCAAAAAATAAATAAATAATATAAAAGCAGAAGACAAAATTCTTTGTATTCATAATTACGACCATGGGAATAAAAGAGGGGCAGCTGAATGGAAATGCACCCAAAATAAGCTAATAGTTGTGTCAGAGTGCTAGGATCAATGTTTTTTCCATTTTCTAATTTTCTGTAAGTGTGGTTATGTTGCTTAAGAGATAAAAAAATTATACATTTTAATAATATCTAACATTAAATAGCACTTCACAGTCTACATGCACATTAACATGTCATTTTACGTCATTCTCAGAACCTTAAAAGATATTATTCCGACGTTATAGACAATAAGAAAGAAGTGGCTTACCCTTTTATAAAGGCAAGTCAAACTTCGTAATAGAACTGGTCAGTCTTTTAGCTGGAGAATTAACTTAAAGCTCAGTTACAAAATCTACAATTGTTCCCTGCAACCATTACTTATAGCACCACATAACTATAGTAGTCCTAGTTCAAAAAAAACAAAAGGGAGAGGGAGCTCTACGTGAAAATAAAATAACAAGGTGCTTGTAACACTTCCTTTCAGCAAAGTGACCACAGAATTTAAATCTACTGGATTCCTAGAACAGTCAAGAGTTAAAATAATTCTTTTTAATATTCATTATTATCAAATATATATTCATTTAATTCTAGACCCTATGGGGTATGAGGTAGCTATAATCATCCCATTTTACCAATGAGAAAACAACATTTAAAAGATTAAGTCAAAGAATCATATTGAAAAGGCCCAGATTATTAAATGTATCACCTATCACCAAACATGGATTGGACCCAAATCAAAGAAGTATCCACCATCTGCCAGGGGGTAGGGAATAGAAAGGAAAACACAAAAAGAGGTAAAACGGGTGAAACCAGTATTAAGTTGGAATTTTGTAAGCTATAGATCTTTGGTTCCTGGAAAAATCATAAAATTACTGCCATACTGGGTTATCAGCTATAGACCTAACAGGCAATGACAAACCTAATAACCAGGTAGAATTCAGGCCATGAGGAGTTTGATAAAGTCTGCTAATTTATTTAGAAGATTAGGTGAGTGGATCTCTAAAAAAGAAAATGCTACTAAGTAAGCTCAAGTCACAGGCACAAAAAGTGAAACGTAAGGATAACAAGCACCTGTAGATCTTTGTCAATGGTAGAAAGGCCGTGTCTACTAAGAAGTCCAGGGCAGGCTGGGCTGCAGAGGCTGCATGGGGTGGTGGAAAGACTACTGGACCAGAATCAAGAGATCTGGGTCCCAAGTTCCTAATCTGTAAAACTAAGAGTTTAGATAAATTTACCTCCCAAGAACCTCCCAGCTGCAAAATTCCTTAAGATGGAAAACAAAACTGCAGTTGCTGCTGAGCGCGACTTAGGTGAGGCACGAATCACAACAGGGAGGTGAGGCATCTTGAGTGCCATCACTGAGATGAGTCCAACAAACAACTCATTTTGCCCCATAATTTTAAAAATTCTGCATATTTTCTGCACTTTGTCAGGAACAAGATGAAAAACAGTCTAGAAGGACAAAAAGTAGATGGTGGGGTTAAAATACTTGTTTTTAATCCCTTATTTTTCTGAGCTTCAAAATATGCAGTTTTCACAGCACTCTAAAATTTGAGAGTCGCAGTGGTATAAACACTATGTCAACTATAAAAACATGCAGGAGGACATGAACTGGTAATATGTACAAATGAAAGTCATCATGGTACAATGTGAAATTCTAAACAATATTTTTGAATACTGTTTCAAAAAACATTGCTCTATTCTCTTTTCAATAAAAATCACTTCATTTCTTCCCTTCTTTCTTTTATCGTCCCTCTCAACCTGCCTGAGTCTTAACAGAGCAGACAAGACAGCTGTCCCCCGTTTTTAAATAAATCATAACTGGGTAACATCTCCCATCTATGATACCAAGCTTGAAATGATCAATTCTCCAAATATATGATGGGCCCTAGCAATTTATCCTTCCCAGCAAATGTATGCCTTTCATTCAATTTGGGACTACCATAGTCTGTACAGGCAGACTTGGAATACTGACCAATTTCTCTACCTTAGAATGGTATTCCTTTAAAACATATTTTTGTAGTTCAAATGGAACTTTGGAAATAGAAGTTTACTGATTAAAAGCCTCCTAAAAACAACCTTCTCCATTTCCCTGATTGGCTCCAGTCCTCTCAAAAGCCAACAGATACTAAAATGGCCACAAGGCCCTGGTTACCACTTTTCATGAATTTCTACATTCTGTTACTTTATTTAAGTTTATTTTACTTACTCAGACTCTTCTGAATGCTCAGTATAACTTAAGCCTCTTTCTTCTTCATATCCTAATGTGTCTTCGAAGAAACCAATTTAAAGCAAAAGTTGCCTAACCTTTGGTTGCAATAATGTGTAAATTTTGTGAGAGGTAGACCATCCAATAATCCAGTTCCTTTCCACAAATATTTAAACAAACTCACATTTAACAAATCAGGATATTTGTTGATTTTGGAATTGGCCTTTTATTAAAATAAGCAGCTTTAAACACCTAAAAATCCAAAAGAAAAAGAAAAAGAAAAAGAAAAACTTCCCTATTTAGCAATTCCACTTCTGGATATATACCCAAAAGAATTGAAAGCAGGGTCCTTTTTATTTAAAGATTTTATTTTTCCTTTTTCTCCCAAAGCCCCCTGGTACATTGTTGTGTATTTTTAGTTGTGAGTCCTGCTAGTTGTGGCATGTGGGATGCCTCCTCAGCATGGCCTGATGAGTGGTGCCATGTCCGCGCCCAGGATCTGAACCGGCAAAACCCTGGGCCGCTGAAGCAGAGTGCGTGAACTTAACCACTTGGCCACAGGGCTGGCCCCAAAAGCAGGGTCTTAAGAGACATTTGCACACCCATGCTCACAGCAACATTATTCACAATCATCAAAAGGTGGAAGCAAGCCAAGTGTCTACCAACAGATGAATGAATAAACAAAATGTGATCTACACATATAATGGAATATTAGTATTATTCAGTCTTAAAAAAAGGGAAATTCTGATACAGGCTATAACATGAATGAATATTGAGGACATGATGCTAAGTGAAAGAAGCCAGTCACAAAAGGACAAATACTGCTTGATTCTACTTATTTAAGGAACCTAGAATAGTCAAACTCATAGACAGAAAGCAGGAGTAGTTGTTGTCAGGGACTGGGGGAAATGGGGGAACGGGAAGTTGTTGTTTAATGGGTATAGAGTTTTAGTTTTACAAGAAAGTTCTGGAGATTAGTTGTACAACAATGTAAATGTACTTAACACGACTGAACTGTACACTTTAAAAATGTTTAAAATGATAAATTTTATGTTATGTGTACTTTATGACAATTTAAAAAAATCTCTATGTCCCAAAGCTAAATCCTAGGGTTGAAAGCCCTTTTAGTTTTAAACTACAGCATTAGCCATCATTGCAACAACACTTGGTAGGGTGAGAAGTCAAGCAAGACAAATAGCTTTTTTTGAGTACCTTATGCTGCTTAATGACAGGTATGTTGTCCAAAATAATCAGCTGTTAAAAAGGAATAGCCTTAACTCTCCCCTGGAACTGGTTAGTGATCTCAGTTTCCCTTCATTAAGTTCTTGACAGCTCAATGTCCTCACATCTGTCACTGTTTGGGAGACTGATTCCAAGAACATAAATTGCTTCAAGGACTAGGCAACAAATTTATTCTGGTTCATGGGACAGATCTGAACCCATCTGTTTCCAAATCAAAAGCCATACTTGAATCAGTTTTGTTCCATCACAGTATCGTACTAATGGGAGCAATACAATCAAACAGTATTTTCCTCCTTTCTATCCACGTAATATAGATGATTACATGAAACACAAATCAATTAAAGCATGAGAGCATCCTCAGAAACAGGGTCTTTGCAGACCGTAGGATCTGATACCTTTTCAATTTTTATGTTTATTCTTCAGACCATTATGATTATGTTTCCTCTAAGTGATACGGTTTCTTTTGGAAATTACACAGGAGGAAATATTTCCACATTGTAATAACCAACTTACCTTAATCTTTTTTTAAGTTGTAAACTGTCATGGATGATCCTCTTAACAAACTCTAATTCACCTCCTTCTGCCATGATCTCTGTGATACCGCCTGTGTTTACAGAACTAGGTGGAGGTCTTCGAGGATTTCGAGAGTTTACTCCCTGAACAACAAAAAACTCTGGTGAAAAATTTTTACACCTTAAGATCAAGTCTTTGACTGTAATCCAGTTCTAAGTAAGGATGCTTAGATGTAATTTTAGTTTCCAAATATCACGCTAGATTTAGGATTTAAAAATCATATAGCCATTGCAATTTACATTTTAAACTGCATTCATGCAAATATTCCTTTCCAGGGTCTTTTATCTTCCCTCTTTGTGATTAAACACACGCACACACAAAAAAAATGTTTTTACCTTTTTATGTAGTCTAATCCGTCACTTTTCCTTTATGCTTTCTGTCTTGGCATCATGCACAGAAAATATTCCACCCAAAGACTATATAAATGTTTACAAATGTTTTCTTCTAGTACTTTCATGGTTTCACTTTTTAAATTTAAATATTTAATCCACTCCTACCTGATACCATATTAAAAAAATTAACTCAAAAATGGATCAAAGATCTAAATATAAAAGCTAAAACCATAAAACTCTTAGGAGAAGATATATGAGTAAATTTTCATGACCTTGGATTAGGCAATGGTTTCTTAGACATGACATCAAAAGCACAAGCAATAAAAGAAAAAAATAGATAAACTGGACTTCCTCACAATTAAAACTTTTGAGTTGCAAAGGACACCATCCAGAAAGTGAAAAGACAGAATGGGAGAAAATGTTTGCAAATAACATACCTAATAAGGGACTATGTCTAGAATACATTTTCTTTCAACAATAAAAAAAAGAAAAATAATACAATTTTTAAATGGGCAAAGGATCTGAATAGGTATTTCTCCAAAGAAGATAAACAAATGGCCAAGAAGCACAGGAAAAGATGTTCAATACCATTAGCCATCAGGGAAACGCACATCAAAGCCACAGTGAGATACTACTTCATACCCACTAGGATGGCTGTAATCAAGAAGACAGATGTAGATAACAAGTAGTGACAAGGATATAGAGAAATTGGAACCCTCATACACTACTGCTGGTGGAATGAAAAATGGTCAGCCACTTTAGTCTGGCTGTTTCTCAAACAAACAAACATACAATTACCATATGATCCAGTAATTCCACTCCTAGGTATATACCCAAGAGAAATAAAAACATATATCCACCCAAACACTTTTATAAGAATGCTCACAGCAGCAGCATTATAATAGCCAAGACGTGGAAACAACGCAAATGTCCATCAACTGATTAAGTAAAATGTGATATATTCATACAGTGGAATATTATTCAGCAATAAAAAGAAATGAAGTACTGATCCATGCTGCAATATGGACGGATACTTAGTGAAAAAGTCAGTCACAGAAGACCATATATTGTATGATCCCATTTATATGAAACGTCCAAAACAGCAAATCCATAGAGACAGAAAGTAGACGGGTGGTTGCCTAGGACTAAGGGGGCTGCAGGGAAACCGAGAGTAACTACTAATCGGTATAGGACTTTTTGGGGGGGGGGGGGTGATGAAAATGTTCTAAAATTGACCATGGTGATGGCTATACAACTCTGTAAATATACCAAAAATAATTAAATTCTACTCTTTAAGTGGGTGAATTGTCTGGTATGTGAATTAAATCTCCATAAAGCTGTTATAAAAAGATATTTAGTTCTGGCGCTAGTAATACTCTATTTCCTTATCTGGATGCTGGTTTCACAGGAGTGTTCACTTTGAAAAATCCAGATTATACTTACAGCATGTGTACTTTTACATATGTACGTCATACCTTAATATTGTTAAAAAAAACGTACTGCAGGACCTAGCTATCTTATAACTTACCTTCAACAAAAGCTACAATTTAGATTTCTTAAATCCTGCTTCACTTTATGTTCCAATCTAGAATGTTGGTATTGCTAATAAATTTCAGTCCAACATCCTCCCCTACACCAAAAAAAAACTAATCCATATGGAATTTACTTTATTTTCAGGTATGTAAATTGTACTTTCAGGGTATTTGAGTGATTCTAAAACAATTTATTCTCCCAAAGTTTTATACACACCTCCTCATTTCCTTCTGATTAATATTTTTCAGTTTCTATTAATGGGGAATTAAATAGATGAAGGAAAACTTAGGTAAAGACAATAACATTTTAGAGCATTGAGTTTCTTAATAGGTTAGTTGTTTTCATCCAACATTTCTCTTTCCATATTCCTGAACAAATACATTTTTCACCTGAAGTTGAAAGACTAAACTGGACATTTTACTATCAAATGACAGGTGGCAGTAAAAACAGTGATCTCCCCCCTATGCCAATAAGCCCAATATAGGAGTGGACTGTGACCTAAGTTGATCCAATCAGATGAAACCCAAAGGTTCAACGGTTTGGGGAAGAAAAGAGTTTTCTCCTCACTCTTTCCCCCTCCCTAAATATTACTCTGCCAAAAGTAAATCAGCCTAAGAACAAAAAAAAAAGGCCAGGTCAGAGCCAAAAGAAACCTGGAAAAACACAGCCTCAGCCCTGACACTACCATGAACTCCTTAATCAAGTTGTTCCTGAAGTCCAAATTACTGCTGGATTTCTTAGATATGTAAGTCAATACACTTTCTTTGTTGTTAAGGCCATCTGAATTGGGTTTTCAGATGCTTGACACCAGAACATTCTGATACAGCTTCCAAAATAAAAGTTGCTCTTTGCTCTTATCTTCACAAACAAGGAAAACTTAGGCAAATATTTAATTGCTTTAAAGCAGAAGATATTTTACCTTGGCTTCCAACTGATTGGCAAAAAAGGGAGGGTTGCACATGCAAAAGTCATAGATTATCTCAGATTCCTCTTTAAGAGCGTCCATCAGGAGTGTCTTCTGTGGTACTTTTACCACTAGGAGAAAAAATAGGAACTGTTAACTAGTATTAATGCTGTGGTAGTTTTCACATATGTCCAAATTCTTTGACAGAAGTGACCTCTAGTCCCTTCGAGAGGTGAAGTTTAATATCCCTCTCCTTGAGTGTAGGCTGCTCAGTGACTCGCTTTTACTGAACAGAAATGACAGAAGTGACACAGGGCATCACTTCTGAGGCTAGGTCATAAAGAGCAATATGGCTTCCTCCTTGCTCTCTCTGTTGAATTACCTGCTCTAGGAGAAGCCAGCTGACATGCTGTAAGAATGCTCAAACAGCCCTCAGGAGAGATCCACAGGGCAATGAACAATGCTTCCTGCCTACCCCCAGTCAGTCCTTCAGACGACTGCAACCTCATTAAAGACTCTAACCAGAACCAGCCAGATAGGCCATGCCCAAACGCCTGACCCATAGAAACTAGGAGATGATAAATGTTTATTGTTTAAAACTGCTAGATTTTGGAGTAATCTGTAATATAGAAATGGAGAAATAAAAAACACATAAACAATATTAGTATTTCCCCTTACAATGATATGTTTAACACTAGCAATAAAAGCCTATTTCTTCCATAAAGAGACATAGTCTAATGACAAAAAAAATGAACAGCCTTTTATATATACAATAAGCACAAAAATAAAAAGTAACTGATTACTAAGGGGATGTGACTATTTGTAGCACAGTTCCACATACTGAAATTAAAAAGATGGTATATTTTAATCAATAGTAGGGTTCTCTTCCTTTTAACATCTTGGTGACTAGGTTACTTCATATACAATAGATCCTCATTATTCATAGTAGTGATGTTCTATAAAGTCACCACAAACACTGAATTAGTGAATAGTGAACCTTTAGCTCCTAGAAATACAGGCTTAGGTTAACTGTGAGCCTCTGGTCACAACATTTTCATCAGCCAATCAATATATAACCTTGTTTTATGTGTGTTTCTGTTTAAAGACACCTTATTTAATATATATTGCCGATTCATTAACATTGAACTCACAGCCAACAGCACTCTAACTCATGTGTGAACGAAGCTCATCTAACACACCTATTTTCTCTATAAGGCACACCACAACCTTTTTGTACTCAGTAACACTGGATAGCATTTAAGCACTATGTTTAGGGACCATTTTAAACAGCAAAATCACCAAGAAAAAACACAAAACTGCAAAAAAATGTGGCACTAAATAGATCACGAAAAGACACTTATTTACAATATGAGAGCTGAAACAATAGCAGAGTGTCGCTTGTTTCAACTTCAGCTTGAAACATGCACGTTGGGTAACGATTTTTTTTACTGCTCTGCATATGTCTTTGAATGACCACAAAGGTACAAGTATTGATTTTGAGGTTAAAAATAACCCTGAGTATTCCTCAAAAAACTAAAAATAGAACTACCATACGATCCAGCCATCCCACTACTGGGTATTTATCCAAAGAGCCTGAAGTCAGCAATCCCAAAAGTCCTGTGCACCCCAATGTTTATTGCAGCACTGTTTACAATAGCCAAGACGTGGAAGCAACCTAAGTGCCCATCAACAGACGAATGGATAAAGAAGATGTGGTACATATATACGATGGAATACTACTCAGCTGCAAAACAGAACAAAATCATTCCATTTGCAATAACGTGGATGGACCTTGAGAGAATTATGTTAAGTGAAATAAGCCAGCAAGAGAGAGATAATCTGTGTATGACTCCACTCATATGAGGAATTTAAAACTATGGACCAAGAACAGTTTAGTGGATACCAGGGGAAAGGTGGGGTGGGGGGTGGGCACAAAGGGTGAAGTGGTGCACCTATAACATGACTGACAAACATTAATGTACAATTGAAATTTCACAAGATTGTAACCTATCAATAACTCAATAAAAAATAATAATAAAAAAAGGATTTAAAAAAAACAAAACAAAACAAAAATAACCCTGAGTAGGCAAATTCACAAATATTAAAGCCATGCAGTTATGGGGATCAACTGTATTTACTATATGTCTTCCTGACTTAATTCGGATAACAAAACAGCAAACTCAATTACAGATTTTTAAAAATTACCAAAGTTTGTTTATTAAAGCAAAAAATAATGAGATACGTTAAATTAGAAAGGCAGGTTAATAAAGCTTGAAAGGGATATGTATTCTGTAGAGCTAACCTTTTATAAGATCAGATAAGTTATTCTGTTCCACATTTTTCTTTGCATAGTTGAAACACATATCATCTACTTCTGTTGCAAGGAAATACCAGCCATTTAAGGTTGTTCCAAGTAAAGGATAGATGCAGGATGCCCCGGTACCTAGCAAAAAGAAAATTCAAAACACACTGAGCACACCTGAGGGAGAGATGAAACTAACAAGCAAAAACACCGTGCTTCTCTTTTTAGAATTCTTTTTTTTTTTTCTGCTTTCCATCCCCAAATCCCCCCAGTACATAGTTGTATATTTTAGTTGTGGGTCCTTCTAGTTGTGGCATGTGGAATGCCACCACAGCATGGCTGGATGAGCAGCGCCATGTCCGCGCCCAGGATCCAAACTGGAGAAACCCTGGGCCGCTGAAGCAGAGCGCAGGAACTTAACCACTCAGCCACAGGGCCAGCCCCTCTTCTTAGAATTCTTATAGCCTTAACAACAAGCGGGTACCTGATTACATACACGCTTTGGCTACTGGGTTCTCTAATCATTTCACGTATGTTAGTCTTACCTCACAATGGGATTCAAATTTCCTAGAAGACAGAAACCTTGCTGTCCTCTTCTTTTGTATATTGTATGCAAAATTAAGTGTGTACAATTAGCTGATGATCAAGGAATATATGACTAATCAACTGAAAATGATCAAAACTCAACTTAATCTACTTTATAAAGTCTTCATTTTAAATCTCAGACAAAACCTGATTTTCTTAAAATAAATCCATGCTCTCTGTTAAAACACTACAGTAATATCTTAAAATAAATCAACGTACATCCCAGTCTCCAAAAGCAGAAAAAAATACATAGGGTATAAAATTTCTATGATCTTAAACAGCCCAACTCCTCCTATATCTGTAAACTGTTACTTGAAGGAAACGAGAAGAAAAAAAACTAAAGAGAAAATTCATTTCTTAGACGTGGAGACATGGAAAGACATTTAATCCAGATACAAAACATCAGTCATTGGCTTACCCTACCATAGTTTCAAGGAAGACATCCAGAAGGAAACGTTTCAGGCAAAAATCACTCTGACAACCAGGGTTTGATCCTAAACATGTACCTTGAATAATCTCGATCCATGGACTGGACAACATACTAACCACAAATATTGCTTTCACATCTACTGACCAATCCTGGCCAATAAGCTTTTAAAGAGGATATTCAAGAGAAGAAAAGCCAATGTTTCTCCCAAAGGTCTACCTTTGGGAGAACGTACAGTCAGCCCGTACCAGCCACTCTAGGCCTGCTTCCTGCTGACCACATCTTGGTGCCAATCCAGCCTTCTATGGATTTGGCAGGAAGAGGTGGAGGCTAGAGATATTCCTAACCCAGAGGAAACCCAGGCTTATCTTATTGCTTCTTCATTAAGTATTCTGAACAAGATAGTAAAATACACGACAACAACTGATGGCCAGAACATTTAAGCTCTTTGACGGTCACAATGATTGCTACACTTCCTATCATGTTTATCTAATAGCATCCTGGCCCTGATGCCACTGGGCAAATACCTCCTTGGGGATGTGTGAGGTGGTGAGGGAAGGGTTGGTAAAGGGTACTCAAGCTCCTCCCAGAGGCCACAATTATTTAGACCCTGCTAGCCATTCTTGTAAGCCAGAGTCACTCAGAATAAGGATACTTAAGTAGCACTTTCAGCAATGTAGGAAAAAAATCCAGACCAGATTCCAGGACCTTGGTTCTCACACAACTGCCTCTCTCTTCATACTTCAATTTCATTTAAAAGGAAAAAGAGAAAAAGTACACTTTCTTTCAGTTACCCAATGATCAGGTACCTCCAGGGTAATAAACAGGTAAAAAGAAAGACCTGCCTTCAGCCAAAAAAATCTAGTTTCTCAATTCTTACAACCCAAAGTCTTGTATTCTAACATCCTAATCCCCTCAAAAAGCTGAATGACATTTTTAAATGGGTAATAATCTTGTAATGATAAACAAAAATGGAAAGTGTATAATCATAGAATTAGAGCAAACTGATGGAGTCTGGGGGGAGAACCCTAATTAGAATCAATGTGATTTCAGCAAGAGTGCCCCTTGTGAAGAGCTAAAATCCATTAACCTCCTATATCCCCAAGTGTTATTTTAGAAGGTTTGGGGCATAATTAAAATAAATTAGCACCAAACAAGCTCTCAAGCTTTCTAAGCTTTCTATAACCAATCAGCCAATCTTCTGCCATGAACATAAAACGGCAGAAGCTTTTGTTAAATCCCATTATTTTTACACAGTGCTTAGCTCATAGGGGGTGTTCAGAAATTTGAATGTTGACAGAATGATGTATTTATCCATCAACATTCAATAAATTATTTATTGGACACCTACTATGTACCAGAAATTTTGCTAGGCCTTGGGATATTATAGTAAGCAAAAAAGTAACAGGCTCTGAACTTTACAATCTAGTGGGTGTTTACCACAGAGGCTTTTAAAAGGAACCCATTACAGTGGCCAAGATGTGATCAGAAATAGATTTACACACACTTTCTGTAGAATGGAAGAGAGAGGCAACAGAGTGGATGAGAAGAGCGCAGTTGAGAAGGTATTCTGTAGACCAGGAGAGATGATGGAGACTTGGTCCAGGGTGGAGGCAGTGGAGAGAAGCAGAAGATTTAAGAAATATTTGAGAGAGAAAAACCAACAGGAAATGGTGACAGACATTCTCAATGAGAATGGGGAGAAGTAAATATCAAGGATGACAGGGTGGACTGTGGTGGATTCGCTGAAGTAAGAAACAAAGGAAGAGGACCAAGATTAGGAAAAAAGAATATGAGTCTGATCCGGGACGTAGGAAAGTCTGAGGAGTTTTTGAGACATCTAAGTTTCTGAAATACATGGGACTAGAGTTCAAGAAAACAAATCTAAGTTGGAGGAATATACAGATTTGTAGGTTATTTGCATGGAGGTGGAAAATAAAGTCACAGATGTGGATGAAATTGCCCAGAGGTAGGCTGCTGCATAAGAAAAGGGCTAAAGACTGAGCTCAACATTTAATGGCCAGATACAGGAAAGTAAGCCCGAAAAGGGGAGAAGGGTGATTAGAAATGAAAGAGGAAAACCAGAGGAGTCTGGTGTCATGCAAGTCAATGGAGGAGAGTGCATAGAGGATAAAGGAGGGGTCAATAAATGCTGCAGAAAAGGTAGTGTATGATCAGAACTGAAATGCACACAAACATCAAAGTTAAACATTTACTACTACCTAGAAATTGTGTTTCCTATTAACTATACTATATTTAGAAGTAAAGTCATAGAGTTTTGAATTCCAGTTTTCCCATAAAGGACTAGTAAAGGCCAAAGGATTAAAAAATTTTTAATCCTAGTAAATGAAAACACTGGCTATGATAAACATAAATTTATAATTGCAAAACATAGCCTGGCTTCATTTCCTTCTGTATCTCCACTTACTCTTTCAAAGGAACCAAACTGGAACAGTTTTCTCCATTGTAAAAGTCTACAATTAAAATCTTACCCTACCCTCTACAAATAATCACTCAAGAGATTCCCAAAAGTATTCAGGCCCACATGATCTTTTATTAAATAGCCATCACCACAAAATCCCAATATGGGGACTACTGTACTAACACCAAACAATTCAGAGTAAATGTAATGCCCAACAGACACAAGACATCAACGTGGTAATCTGGAAAGCTAAGAAAACAAGAGCCTCACTTCCCTTCTGCACCTCTCTTACCCTGTTTGGTGCTGACAATCCCTTCACAAGAGAAATCGAGAAAAAGACAAGCCCAGGTGTAGCAAATAAGAACAGTAATATCCACAGCCAGCTTCTTTCACCCAAGAAACACCCAGAAGAGAAGTTCACAGAGAATTTGACCTTGCAAAATTTATGAAACTTATGTTTAGCCAAAAAAGAATTTTAAACCATATACCTATGTCAATTCCTCTTCGGAGAGTACTTTTGTCAGAATCCTGATGACCGATCAGATCTTCCACCCAATGAATATAGTTGAGTCTCAAGGGAACTGTGGGAATTAGTCGCTCCAATGGAATATCAATAGACAGTCCAAAATCTTCCCTTAGGAGAGTACAGGTCAGAGCTCTGACTGCTTCAGGATCTTTAAAATTAAGACTGAGGGGTGGAGAAAAAGAAGTAAAACTGATTAGTAAGATTCACTAAGCTGTAAAAACTCTATGGCAGCCAGGCAATACCAAACTCCCATTTGAATTTCCTAGGAGATCACAATAAATAGCTCTATAGAGCATTCAGCACAGTGGCATACACACCTGGGTGTTTAACACAGTCACAGTAAATGAAAAGCAGTATAAATTCCACCGAGAACACTGTATTTTTCACACATGGAGTATAGAAGAGCAGCGTGCCTCCCTTCCAATTCCTGCCTGATCCTCTCTTTACTTCGTTATGTGAGGTTAGACAAGTTATTTAACCTCTACAAGACTGTTTCCTCAGCTGTAGAATGGGAATAATGGTACCTATGTTATAGTGCTGCTGTGAGATGATCTGTGAAGCGTACTTAGCATAACGTCTAGTACAAAGTAACTATTTTATAAATGCTGGCTATTCTTCTATTATCATTAACATCATTCGACATTAGCATTCTATGAAAATCATACTTAAATGTGGAAAGAAAGCAGTAAAAAATGTTTAATAATGAAAATATGATAAGATACTTAAATATAACAAAGACTATAGATACCAAATTTAAAACGTAACTATTTTTAGCAGCTTTACTGAGGTACAATTTACATACTATAAAAGTCAACTGTAAGTAAACAATTCAATAATTTTTAGTACATTTGCAGCAGTGCAATCATCACGACAATCCAATTTTAGAACACTTCCATCACCCCAAAAAGAAACCTCGTGTCCATTTGCAAGACATTCCTCGTCCACCCTCAGCTCTAGACAACCACCAATGCACTTTCTGTCTCGACAGATTTAACTTTTACAGATGTTTCATATAAATGAAATCATATAATATGTGTTCTTTGTATCTGGATTCTTTCACTCAGCACAATGTTTGTGAGGTTCATCCACTGAGTAGCACATATCAGTACTTCATTCCTTATTATGGCCAAATAATATTCTATTCGGTAGATAATCAAATTGTAGTTTATTTGTCATATCGATAACCACATCTGTGGTTTATCTATGCACCACTTGATGGACAGTTGAACTGTTTCTACTTTTTGGCTATCACAAACAATGCTACTATAAATATTCCACATACAAGTCTTTGTAAGGATATGTTTTCATTTCTCTTGGGTAGATACTTAGGAATGGATCCTATGATATATCTGTTTAACTTTTTAAGAAACTTGTGCCAGTAGAACTATTCTAATCTTAAAATGCTGCTAAGCTGAAAATCTTAAAAAGAAAACCAATGGATGTTATTTATAACAGGGTAATGAAAAGACAGAGCAGAAAGCCAGTAGATGGGACTGAACTATGAAAGGTAAGAAGAGCTTTGAAACTGTCTGCTGGGGCCAGCCCAGTGGCGCAGCGGTTAAGTTTGCACATTCCGCTTCTCGGCGGCCCGGGGTTCGCCCGTTCGGATCCCGGGTGTGGACATGGCAGTGCTTGGCACGCCATGCTGTGGTAGGCATCCCATGTATAAAGTAGAGGAAGATGGGCACGACGTTAGCTCAGGGCCAGGCTTCCTCAGCAAAAAGAGGAAGACTGGCAGTAGTTAGCTCAGGGCTAATCTTCCTCAAAAAAAAAAAAAAAACACAAATAACAAAAAAACTGCTCAGAATTCTGGCCTGAAGCTGTATGGTCAGACAGCTGGCCATCCTCAAACAACTCCTGATCTGTCCCATCTTCTTTTCTGTTTCTTTCTTGGTAATCAAATGATCAATCATTCTGAAAACCTCAAGGCCCAGATGCTTGAGTGCCAGGATGGAAGGAAGAGTGCTCTATCTGGCTACCATGGAAACTTTAGGAAGGTACCATGGACCCAAGCTCCTCCATCACCCACAGCAAAAGTGTTCTACCATGGGAGTTCAGAAACCTGGACTCTAACCTTGGTTCTGCAATCAACTAGCCATGAACTTAAAGTCACTTCAGTTCTTAGGTCTCAGTTTCTTCATCTGTAAAATTAAGAGATTGGACATAATGATCTAAGGGTCCTTCCAAGTAAAATTTCATGGCTCTATGAAGAATACTACAAAGCAGCACAATGATAGAAACTGAAATATTTGTAGAGCAAATTACGGAGACATGGAACGATCAAAAGAGTTCCTGAAGACAGAATAACCAAACAACAGTAAACATTTCCATTATCCTCCAGCCTGACCCCACAACAAACTCTTTATTCTTCTGCTGCATGATATTAAGCATACAGTAACAGTACTGAACACATATTAAGGAATACACAACCAGTGGTTATTCGATGACATGACCTACTCTTTCAAAAAATTCTTTAGAAAAACACAACTTTCAAAGTAAAAGAATTTGTGAAAAGAGTGATGATGGGCAGGATTAGATTTCAGGAATATAGACTTGTTTGTTATCTATACAGAAATTGCACTCTCTACTTGAATATAACCTTTTTTTGATGACCTTTAAGAATGCTTCAGGGGCCGGCCCCGTGGCCAAGTGGTTAAGTTCACGTACTCCACTTCGGTGGCCCAGGGTTTCGCTGGTTTGGATCCTGGGCACGGACATGGCACCACTGATCAGGCCATGCTGAGGCGGCGTCCCACATAGCACAACCAGAGGCACTCACAACTAGAATCTACAACTATGTACTGGGGGACTTTGGGAAGAAGAAGAGAAAAAAGAAGAAGAAAAAAAGAAGATTGGCAACAGTTGTTAGCGCAGGTGCCAATCTTAAAAAAAAAAAAACAATGCTTCAGGGTACAATTTATAGGGAAAAAATGGAAGAGATTAAGAATGAATGTTTAATATAATCTACAGCAAACAAAAAGAGGATGGCTATAGCGTAATCTCAAGAGATACAAGAGCCTAAAAACTATGACACTCCCAAAGCAATGAGCATACCTAATGTTCCAGATCTTGGTTTCCAAATTATCACTCCCCACTAAAAGGAACCAGAGTTCCTTGGATAAATGGTGGTTCCAGGTCTGGAGTAGGGGAAGTACAAGATGAGTCTGGAACATTTTAGAAAATAAGTCATGCTCAAATAAAGATGATGACAAATCAAAAGGACACGGGCCAGCTTGAAGGGGCTCCCACTCACCAAATCTGGGAAACCTGAATGAAGAATGCCAGCAAGGAATTATAGCCCAAGACAAAAATACATGAGTCCATACTTATATAAATAAATAAATGAGGGAGAAGGGACAGCTCTTTCTTAAAGAAGAATGACAATTAAATGTAGAATAAAGAAGTCAGGGGCTGGCCTGGTGGCACAGTGGTTAAGTGCGCACGTTCTGCTTCAGCGGCCCAGGGTTTGCCGGTTCAGATCCCAGGTGGGGACATGGCACCACATGGCAAGTCATGCTGTGGTAGGCGTCCCTCATATAAAGTAGAGGAAGATGGGCACGGATGTCAGCTCAGGGCCAGTCTCCCTCAGAAAAAAGAGGAAGATTGGCAGATGTCAGCTCAGGGCTAATCTTCCTCAGGAAAAAAAAAAAAGAAGTTAGCAAATTACACTTGGAAATCACCATACTAATCACTGTTTCAATTAAGAATCATTAATGGATGCTAAAAATAGTAGGCAAAAGTTTGAGGAAAAACAATATTTTCATAGTCTCTAAGTATTTCCCCACAAATTATCAACTACCAAGGAGAAAATAATAACACTGCAATGAAGAAATCTTTTTTTATTTTTGGCACCTGAGGTAACAACTGTTGCCATCTTCTTCCTTTTTTTTTTTCCCCTGCGTTTTCTCCCCCAAACCCCCAGTACGTAGTTGTATATTTTCAGTTGTGGGTTCTTCTAGCTGTGGCATGTGGGACGCCTCCTCAACGTAGCCTGATGAGCAGCGCCACGTCCGCACCCAGGATCTGAACCGGTGAAACCCTGGGCCGCTGAAGGCGGAGCGCATCAACCTTAACCACTCAGCCACGGGGCCAGGCCCTACAATAACGAAATCTGATGGATATCACCTTAACTAAGTGATTAAAGTTAACATCTCTAATCACGGGACAAACTTTATATACTTCAGTGATACACTGAGAAGGACAAAAGAGGGCAAAGAAAATAAGACTTAAAAAAGCATGCAAAATGAAAAGGAATTCAGAAATGAGATAGTGGTAGTGCATAATCTTGTCAATATATTAAAAACTACTGAATTATACAATTTAAAAGGGTGAATTTTATAGTATGTTAACTATATCTCAATAAACCAGTGAGGGGCTGGCCCGGTGGCGCAGCAGTTAAGTGTGCACGTTCCGCTGTGGCGGCCTGGGGTCCGCGGGTTCAGATCCCGGGTGTGGACATGGCACCGCTCATCAAGCCATGCAGTGGCAGATGTCCCACATATAAAGTAGAGGAAGATGGGCACAGATGTTAGCTCAGGGCTGATCTTCCTCAAACAAAATAAATAAATAAAAAATAAACCAGTGAAATGGAAATGAACAAGACGTGAGAAAAAATAAGAAACACCAGAGAGGCAGATAATGGAGACTCCTTCACACACATAATTGGTGTTACTGAGTAAGAGAACCAAAGGAGTAGAACAAAGAAATATTCAAAGAAATGATTCAAGGGGCCAGGCCCGAGCCGAGTGGTTAAGTTCACGCATTCCACTTTGGTGGCCCAGGGTTTTGCCAGTTCAGGTCCTGGGCGTGGACCTAGCACTGCTCATCAAGCCATGGTGAGGTGGCGTCCCACCCAGCAGAACTAGAAGGACCTACAACCAGAATATACAACTATGTACTGGGGGGCTTTGGGGAGATGAAGAAAAAAGAAAAGAAATGATTCAAGATCATTTTCCAAAAGCAGAAGATTCACTTTGTCCCTAGGAAAACCAATACAGGGGCTGGCCTGGTATCATAATGGTTAAGTTCACATGATCCACTTCGGGGGCCCAGGCTGAAGGGTCAGATCCTGGGCATGGACATACACACTGCTCATCAAGCCATGCCGTGGCGATGTCCCACATACAAAAAATGGAGGAGGACTGGCACAGATGTTAGCTCAG